GTTTTCTTTTTTCATGAAAATCTTCATTTTCCTCCACTAATTTGTATTCTACTGTAATTATGTTGATTTCAATGGACATATCGTGTTCTCGTTAACGAGTAATCTTGCTTTTGTCTAATCGGATTTACTAATAATTAGTGAGACGTCCAAATAACAAGCATAATGATTCATTTCAGATGGATGCCATGTCAACTGAAAATTGAAACAAATATCTGCAGCGGCGATTACGATGGCATTATTCTGGTGTCAGGAAGTGCCCCTGGATCCAACGAGCCGGAACCCTTCAAAACCGTCCTCTACGCCGCGGCCCAGATCGATGCCGCACTGGGCGTGATCGGCGCGGTTTTGCCCATCAATTTGCTCGCAAAAAGGTTCATTTACAGCCCAACGGGTCCGCTTAACATGGATTATCACGATGTGCGGAGTTTTGCAGAGGCAGCCACGAAGGGAGTAAAACGGTAATTCTTTTGTATAATAATTCCATATATGCTTTTCTTTCTCTTTCATTTCTTTCTCCAGTCTTTTTTTTTTTTAATACGAGCACTACAGTAACAGAACCGTCGCATTATTTACACATGTTAGTATATGTATTATATCGGCATGTGTCATCGGTATACCGCGAGATATACTTTTTACAAAATTAAATAAAAATCAACGCGAAATCGCATATCACACGATTTTCATGTTTATTTTATTTATACAAAGTATTGTATTATTATTATTGTGTCAAGTATTTATTAATGTTATATGTATAATTATAATGTAATAAATAAGTTTCGGATTTAGACAAGATTCGCAACTATTTTGCACAGTGTACGACACAGTCTCAACTCTTCTTTTCTTTTTTTTCTATACGAGGACTATTGCCTTTTTTCGTGATCGTTATGATTTGACATAATCAGTAAAAAAGGACGCATACAATAAATACTGCTCGACAATTACACATGTAAATAGCTGGCATATTTGGCCAACTTTGGTCTAGAATTAAATATATACTCTACATTATACATATTGTCTTTAGATCTTACAAATTTCGGATCTGACACTCCTAGGTAATTGCTATTACGGGCTAACAATTACTCGTTAATTCGGTGCTTTATATGCTGTCGGTGAATTAAATCATGGTTGCCGACATAGCTAGATAAGTCTTGGTTATCTGTCGTTTTGAGGGGAGATGAGAAATGCTCTAGCGATGACAAAGGGAACAACGTACAATGGCACGACGCTATTATAAAGCAACGCCGCGCACTTACCTTGCCATAAATGTCTGTTTTTAATTTCAGTTTAACAAGACTTCTACATGTTTGTCGATTCTTTATCGATAAACGAATCAACATTTACTGCGAAAATTTTTTCGCAAAATATTTTTTCAATTTCTTGATTCTTTAACAATGTATAATTATTAAAAGTTCAACAATATTTTTAATCTCTCTGGTATTTCTAATAAGCATTCTTCAACTATATAAGGGACACTTTACTAAATTCCACAATCGAAGCGCGCAAATTCCAGTGTTTTTCATTGTCCGGGTATAATTGGATTTGGCGAACATACCCAGAGGAAGTGACGTTATATCTACGTTCTTATGTCGGCAATTTGCATATATCCGAAAAAATCACCGCATTTTTTCGAGTTTTTTTTTTTTAATTAATCGAAATCGGTACCGGAGTAATTAATCAAAGGCTCTTGATTGTATGTTTACAATTTCGAACATCTTCTCACCCGCATACCGAGTATTCATTCACTACAGCAACACGATATGGTCTTGTAACGAAACGAACCACGAACGATTGTGAGCATTTTGTGTACTCCAATAGCTGCATAGGGGAAACGCAATGATGCGCGAACGAAATTCCGTGCGAGCCATATGCCTGCCTGTCCCGAAATACGATTGAAAAATGAAATTCCTGTCCGCTTGGCGTAACTGTTTTTTTCACGCGGCAGTAGTGACGTTAACGGAAGATTGGCATGGAGAACGTTCCACGCTAGGCGAAAAAAATTGGAGACCGTATCTTGTAACGCATATCAGTGTCGCAATATTTTGCCTTAATGATATTTTTTGAGTTTAGTCGCGACTTTGGACTTTGTATAATATCAAAAGCTAGCTGATAAATAAGATAAACGTCATACTAATATCACTCCGTATCACTATATCTAAAAAATATAACGATTTCAACAAGTGTTTAAGGTATATTATTAATAATATAAGCAGTAAACAACAAAGTAATTAATTAAAAATAAATAATAAAAAATTATAAATTATAAAAATATGAAAAATTATAAAGAAGATTATTTTGAAAACTTAACTAAATATCTAATAAAATTTTTTATTGTATTTATGTGAATGTAACCAAATTTTGCCTAAAGCTCATAAACTCTTGGATGCCAGCTTGCCGTTCTGTACAATTATTTGTAAATACAATTTGCTTACACTTGCAATTTATTTTTCTCCTCGTGCAAAATTTCGCAGTATTCTCTAGAGGAAACTCGTTGGAACCTACGAATTTTAATCTTTTAGTCTGCATTTTAATTATTACCAATGTTTTCCGCGAACAAAACTGCTACCATGCTCCGTTACACACCTGAGCAATAACGCAGTATTTGCAGTCCTTTTGAAATCTCGGAATAATAGCAGTGCACGGTTCTACGCGACATTAATACCAAACTCAAATCAGAAGTACTTTGTTGAATCGAGAATAGAATGAGAGATTTGAGAACCGCGATATAACGAGAGTTTCTCGAAATTGCCAAGTGCGAAATATCGCACGCATCGGGAACGTAACGAAGTTTAAACACGATAGTGATATACTTCGGGAATAGATTAATAGTTCGTGATTCACTCGTGCAAGAGTGAAAGACATCCTCGGCTACGTGGTTACGTTTGTATTACATCCGACAAGACGAAAATTGGACACGAAGGAAGCGAGAATGGCCATTCGTGTCTCGGGGTACTCAATGAGAACCGCACCTTTCCCCAGAGAACACATTTCTCTTCTCCCTTTTTGCATGAACGTTCATCTCTTGAAGTGTAGTATTACTGCAAGTTTTATGATAGTAATGTTATATTGCGTAGATTACGACAATCACCGAACATTGACAATATGTCTACACTGTAATTACGGTCAGCCTTCCTCTCAAGTGTGCATGTCTTTCTATACCTTCGAGTTCCGTCTAGGGTATCTCTTAATCCTTTACTAGATTCTTAGATTGATATCCTATTGATCATCAACCTGTCAACAGGAGAGCTTCTTGACCGTTTGAGTTTTCTTCAGTTAATATTTCTTTTTTAATAATATAGAGGGCTATCAAACTTGTGACAAACAAGAGAAAATTCTTACGTTACACATACACACATCACATACGCGCGCACACACATACAGTTTATTTTATATTTATTTAATAATTTTAGATTAGCAATACTAAAGTAAAATATGACCTTACTCCAAAGTTCATTTTATTATATGATTGAATATTAATGCATTATAATAATAATTCATAATTTAACTGATTTTATGACTTTTTGGATTTATTATATAGGGCTTTGAAAGCTGGTGTGAAATGTCCTTTATTGGTGCTACTACCGGATGACCGTTTTGAAAACGTTGAGCTAGTTACGCTTCTTGGTGCTCTGGAGGGTCTTTACGTGGTGAGTTCCGTCACGACAAATTATTCATCATAATACTACCACGTCGAAATATGTTATGATAAGTAGATCATATTATATATTTTTTAAATGTCTTTTACCCTTGGAAAAACGGAATATTAAATGATTTCAAATACTTTCAATAAAACGAAATTTTTATGACTGCATAGGCGCATAAAAATTTATAGTAGGACCAAAATAACCATTAGTTTTATTATTAGAACCTCAATGCACGAAGATGTTTAAGGAAAGAATCTCAATTACCTCACTTGATTTAATTCAGTAAAAATAGCAACCACAAATTTCCCACTTACAACGATTGTTAAATATGGAAAAGTTGAATCAATTTAATATCTCAAAATAACGATTAGTTATTAAGATATTAGAATTTAAAAAGACAAATCGGAAAAATTGCTGGCTAAAATCGAGAGAATCAATGAGCGAACGTTATTCAATTGTGCCAATATATCCGGTTAAGGTATTTCGCAGATAGTTGGTACAGTTGTGGTTATACGAAAGCCGTTTAAACCAATCAAACAGATACAATACAGCTTTGTGCGCATCTACATTGGCAGAATAGGAAGCCTGTAGTTGTATCTGGAAGGAATTCATCTCCGTGTTTCAGCCGAGTTTGGTACGCTGCGGTCTGATTGGCTACCCCCAAGTTGCTCACCATACTCTAACTCTAGTAAATCCGTCTACCTCGCCTCTAAACTAAATTGCTACTGTGATCTTAATCCATAACTAATGACTGTGCGGGCCGCGCGACGCAATTCAACTAATCCATGATATTTTACAGAAACAGAATTAATTCCGCTTCATTAATATCCGATTCATTCCCAATAAGACTCGATTCGCGAACGGCCACAATCGAGCAATTACTCGAATAATATGAACCTTCGTCCAGAATAATCATTATTTAATAATTATGAGAAGTTAGGGCACGCGGATAATTTGCAACCATTTGCGTTTCACGACTTTGATACACAAATATCGTAATCCATGCATCAAATGCAGACTGATTAGAATTACTCGGTGCTGGCAGGTCGACCATATCCGAGCTTTCAAAATTTATTTATCTCGGATGCAAATGTATATGTGACGACGGCCAAGCACATAATTATAGTTTTAACGTACGGCCGAGAATAAGACCATAGGGCATAGACGTTTCGATAAACAAGCTCGTTCAACGTCTTGAATAAACGATGGCTCGATGACAGATACCGACGGCAAAGAGTGCGGTCAACACGATCATCAAACAACACCTGCCACCGACAGACTCCGGCACGGGCTGGGCTTGATCGATAAGTGTCTTACAGAGGATATCGGATTGCACAACTCGATTGCAAGCTCCATTGTTCATTAACCTCAGCGCCGTCGCGGTTAATTACGATCGGACGATAGTATCCGTGTTATTATGCGAACTTCGAAGTCGGAAGTTATCCGGCACGAGTATACGTGGCGTGATCGATTTGCGAATCCTATAGTAATCGCTTTACCAGAGCGAGCCGCGCGCGATCGATCATGTCACTCACATACATTCGACAATTAAGCATATTTAATTGGATAGAGCCATTGAAAGAGCTCCTCAATAAACGTTGTAAATACTAAATTTCAGATATCTTGCTATAGCATGTAAGAATAATGACTGATAACAAAAAATTTTTTGTAATATATAATTTGTAACAATATCTATAATATATTAACTGTCTTTACAAAAAAAAATCGCGATATTATTCCAAAAGATTAATTTTCTTTGCGACAATATGACAATTAAAGCGGACTTACTGGCTTTTTGTATTATACAAAATAAAACAATATCTTTTTTAAAAGTAAGAAGTAGCGTTTTGTGTAATTGCTATAAATTTTGCGCTTGAACTATTCTTTTATTAAATTGCAATATCCGATAATGTAGAAACGTTAACCTAGTATTGATTCTTATTCGTCGTAAAATGTTGAAACAGCTGTTAGGTTAGGTTGAAATAAAGCTGTTGAAATAAAGACAAGATCTGGACACTCGTCTCTTGACAAATTAAAGGAGAAACGATAACTTTAAGCCGATAAAGTATAAAGGTACTTGGAAAAGAAGAAGGGCTCTGCGCTTGTGATCAGCGTAGATTGCATGTTAGACAGGACAAGAGATTGCTCTTGGACTATACATCATAGAGAAAACGAATCTTTTGGAACAATGCTGGAATAAACTTTGTTTATTATACAGAATATTTTAAAACATTCTAGATTTAGAAAGTAAATAATATTCTTCAAAAAAGTAAAAAACGTCTAATCAACATATATGTTGAAAAATCGTCTTTATCGGAGATAGAAACCATTTAATTTGGATAAGACAGATGATTTACTTGCATTTTTGCTTACTATAACACTTACTTTTTTGCATAGATCGATTTCCTTCATGTTGCATAAAAAAGTATAAAAATTTAATAATCATAGAATAAATTAAAAAATTAATACTTTACGTGATATTTCACATCTTATGTCACAATTAATATATCGGAATAAAATGATTTGAATATGAATTATCTTGTAAAAAATTTATTTCTCGATTATTTTACTTTAATATTGTTACATACAAAAAATATCATATATCTATGTAGGTATGTTTTCAAAAAGTGAATTATTTTTTTCATTTATTTGATTCATTGGTAATTTGATAACGCCATTCAAATTTTGGATAAAAATAATATATATTTATATTAAAAAATTTAAACCTTTTGTTTAAATATTGAAATATTGATTGTTTTCTGAGAAATAACTACAACAAAAAGTCGGCATAATTAATATTGACACGTATCACTGATCAAACTGCAAATACTAAACGGTGATTTAATTGGATACTACACAGCTAATTTTTATCTGAAAAAAATTGTTATTTCATGCATTAGTATCATATCGGTTTATTTATACCTTTGTTGCGTTCAACTTTAAATCGAGTTCGAATTATTTTTTTCGAGACTACGCGCAACAAACTTTATCTAATAGTGAATGTTCTCGTAATTCGTTGCACATACATAACAGACATTCTTGTCGCGTAAGTTCAAGGACCAAAATTCTAAGTTCGAACCACCAAGGGAGAAGCAGTCGGTCGGGGCTTGTTTGTGGGTGGAAGCGGGATGTAGCAAGAGGTTAGGAGAACGCAGGGGGGTAAGCCGAGTGCTCTGCCCTATCAAGAGTAGCAAATGCCTGGCGTTCCTGAATCCTGGCGGCCGGCGAGGCGACCTAATTAGCGAAATACTCGGGCTCTCCCTCGTCTCCCGTCACCTCACCGACCGCTCAGCCCGCGGCATCGGAGCGTTGTCGGCACCAAGCTCATACGCTTCTTTCTTGATAGTTCCCTCTTCTGACCCTCTTTCCTCTTCTGCATCGCTCGTTCCTTCCATCCGACGCAAATACGAGGCATCGTTTTCCAAATACCAGAAAGCACCCTCGGAATTTCTGCGCCACGTAATCGGAACACCACGTCGTCGCGAATCTCGCGTCGGTCTCTTTCTCGCTTCTCTTATAGCTAGCAGTTTTCCGACTTTTTCAATTCTTTTCACCCGCTCACAAGTTGCACGAACGCGCGTCAGTGACAATGCAAAAAGTCGCCTACGATAAAACGACCCGCGCACGTGTCAGGTCGCGGAATCTTTATACATTTACAGATGAATAATTAAATGCAAATGCATTAAAAAGAGAAAATATTATATGCATTATAATGCTAGGATTTTTAAAGCAAAGAGCAAAGACAATGAAAGTTGGCTTTTGCCGGATGTATAAATCAACTAGAAAATCTTTCAACCGATTTATACATAAGTCCATAAGAGTTATAAGCCCCAACTCCATTATCTATGAAGTGCTCGTTCGATAAGAAGATTATCATACTTAACGTTTTCAGTGCAGACAAATAAACTTCTCTTTCTTCATTAAATCTGATGGCGCATAAAAAAAGTAGTAAATGATGTATAATTTGTGTATAACAGATTTTAAAGAGAAATATAATGTAGTGTACTATTTAAACAGTATACTAAGTGTAAGGCAAACAAAAAAATTTTCTTATTTTTCATTGTTTGCCATAATCGTATCTTAATGATTTATAATCTTCAACCGGCGATTTTTTATATTTTCACAGCCTTTAGAGGTGCGTGAGATATGTCCAGATCGGTGCTACAAAGCGTGTCAACTTGGAGTGTGGAGTCCGATTTGCAGTAAGAAGCTTCAGGGTATCGTGAAACTCGCCTCGGCGCTCGAGAGTGGTAGATACGTCGCAAGGGACATAGGTAAGTCCTGTTCTATCCCAGGCGCACACGGCTCACGGAATTTTATCGAGTAAGTAAAGCAGGTTTTCCTGTCCGCGTGAGAGAAGAGCTCGGGCTCGGGCTTTCGTCGCGAGTTTCCGCTTTTCGCGGAAGAAATAAGCTTTGGTGGGGAAAATCGCCCGCGGCTTTCTATAACTTGTCCAAGAAAGGTCTTTTGGCTCCTGGTTAATCGAGCACAACTCGCCGCTCTTCCAATGTCCAAGTTCAGTCGGAATAGCCCTCGGGAATTATCGAGTTTAAAGTTTAAGTAGCTGGCGATTTGGAGAGAGTTTAAGTGTTCATTTTTTATGTTACGCCTCATGAACAACGTAGAAGGAAAGTACGGAGCTCGTTCCCTGTGGCAATTAATAACAATTGGCGTTTCTGCGATATTTGCCTTAACGTTTCAAGAATTTGTCCTTTATCGTAGCATTTATACTTTATCAAGTATATGGCTTTTATACACACAAACTTTCATTCCCGCCTAACTTGGATATAGAATTTATATTATTTATTCGCTTGCTTGTAGAGCAAAGCGAGGAAAGTGGATAATGCAATTTCGTAAAGTAAACTTTGATGACCTGACCGTTGCCGCAGACTATTCTCTCAGGCTAGTGTCTCATGGAGCGGATTACGCGGAACGGAACGAACGTATCACCAATCACAGGATCGTTCTGATAGAACCCTGTCAAAGATTCCGTCAAAACGGTCCCGTGATTGACTCATTCCGTTTCCGCGTTATCCGCTTCATGGGACGCTTGCTTCAGTCGAGTCCGAATCATTTGCATGTGCCAGAGCAAATAATAAATAATAAGCAGAGCACGAATTTTTTAATATTACTAATCAACACGGATCGGAAAGACATTCACAATTGTTAATTTGAGATATATAACACATTTTTTATATAATTTATCGCAAAATATGTTAATTTCAATTAACATTATATAGTAATATATTAAAATTTATTGAATATTAATTGCAATATCAATAACAGTATTTTTGTGCATATTAAAATTTATTCATTATACTTTTCGATCAAATAAGAATAACAAAGTGCAAATAATTAAACAGCAGTCTTGTGCTAAGCTTGTCAAGCAGTAAAAGTAATTGCTGATGAAAAATATCGTATTAGTTTGAAAATAATTGGCATGTTTTTTATAATAAAAGGAAGAGTTCAATCTATTCAGTTTAGTTTTTCAGTTTCATATCTCAATATATTGAACAAACAGATGCGAAGCTTATTTTCGCAACTGAATTACGTGTGTATATGCATGTGTGTGCGTGCACGCACGTGTATAGATTAATCAAAATAAATTTTAAATAAATTAAACGCGCTACATGAACGATTTAATTACTAACGAAAGTAGCATTTTTTAAGTAAAACTGACAATTGCGGAAACATATCGCAAAGTTTTATCTTTATCGAATAAATTTTATGAGATAGTGAAATATAATCGTGAAATATAAAGAATGGATATTTTGTATCCAGTTATTAAATAACAAATCTATAGATTTTAATATATTAAAAACAAAATCTATTTCTTTAAGACACGCATTTATTCAATCTACATCTATCTATATCCTATTAATAGCCAGCGGCGCTTTTACTTTGTGTTAAATTAGGCGGTGCAGACCCCGAAAGAATGGCGCCCCTGAGAGTAGAGGAATACCTGGCGGAGCTGTTTTGCGGATCGAATATCACGATGCAAGTGGTATCCGATCAGGATACGCTACTTCAAGAATACCCGCTATTTGCCTGTGTAAATCGCGCCGCCTCGGTAATACCGCGTCACGCCGGTAGAATTATATTTTTGACCTATGAGCCGTCCGCCTGCGTCTTAGAGACGATCATGATCGTGGGGAAGGGTGTCACTTACGATACCGGTGGCGCCGACATCAAGTGTCAGGGCATCATGGCTGGCATGTCGAGGGATAAATGTGGCGCGGCCGCCTGTGCCGGATTCATGCAGGTGCTGTGTAGTAATATATCGTCATGCACGGCATTATATGCCATGCTGGAACAATCGCGTTTCACCTCGCGTCTATTAAAATAATATAGCGTTTTAATAAGTTTCCTGCTCGGCAATATATACGAGCTGGTAAATTTTTGAAATGATCATCGTATGCGAACCGTAATTCTATTCCTTATGCCTTATGGGATGGTATAGTGCATTAATGGTCTCGATGCACGCTTCTCTCTCCGGCGTATATAGCGCATCGAGCCTATTACTATTCCTTTGATGCACTATGATCGAGATAAAGACTTTGAACAAATAAATATTCAATCGCTCGCCGCTATAATATCAAGAATCAAAAGTTATCATTTTTTTACACATTATAATTTTTGTTAAAAAGAGAGTTAAAATTTGCGAGAAGTAACGCGATTTCAAAAAATTTAATAATGCACACTTAATTTCATATGTCAAAGTAAGAGCTGTTATGTTAAATATCGTAGGTAGTGAATTTATTGCAACCACCGACGGTAAAGGTCGTCGCCGCTTTGTGTCTTGTAAGAAATAGCGTAGGCGAGAACTCTTACGTCGCCGATGAGGTGATCACGGCAAAATCCGGTGCAAGGGTACGCGTGGGTAACACGGACGCCGAAGGTAGGATGGCTATGGCTGATGCTCTCTATTATCTCAAAGAAATGGCTCTATGTTCCGTGAATCCGCACCTCTTCACGATAGCTACGCTAACAGGCCACGCAGTATTAACTGCAGGTTCGGGATATTCCGTAAGTACCGTCAAGTCACATTTGCTTGTTATGCTTTTAACCGCATTTTAGCGAACGTTAAGATAACACATGCAGCTGCTTGAATTCCTATTGCTCGAATGACGATATAGCGTACCTTTAACGAGAAGAGAGCAAATAATCCCATTGCACTACCATCGCGCGTAATAATAACAAACCTAGACGTTAAAATCTAGGTGCGAACTGGCAGAAACATATACAGACAGTTACGTGTTTGTTGATTCATTGACGAAAGCGTAATTGGACAGGTTTATAAACGATCTAGATGCAGCGCGCGCGCGTTCAGTTTTCTTGTATTATATTGAATTATGAGCGTGATGTGTGAGATAACTTTGTTATCAAAATTGCTCGTAGACATTAACCGTAATTCATCCTCCGGTTATTCTCCCGATAAAAGACATTTTATCATTTATTGATATTTACAAAATTTACAAAAAGAACTTACGTTTATATTCATTGCTATAGATTGCGATGGATAATTCCGTGGCACGACTAACCAGTAATGCGGAAAAACTTCAAGCTTCCGGCGAAGCTATTGGCGATCCATTTGAAATATCGCGAATACGTAGGGAGGATTTTCTCATCCATCAAGGACGTGCGGAAGGTGACGATATTCTTCAGGCACTAAATAAACCTAGCTCCAAAACTCCACGAGGTCATCAGGGACCAGCAGCCTTTTTAATTAAGGCTTCCGGATTGGACAAGGTGACATATGCTTGTTATTATTATTATTATTATTTAAGTTTAAAATGTTTCCAGGCATTATAACATTGCTTAATGATTTATAACTTTTAGCATGGTATTGAGTCAGAGAAGCCGTTGAAATATTGTCATTTGGACGTAGCCGGTAGTGCCGGTGATCTTCCCGCACAACCAACTGGTTCACCGATTTTAACATTAGCCAAAGCATTTCTTTTTGATAAAATAGAGATCAAAGATCCATGATACTAACATAAACTATTTATAATATTCTATGTACACAATATACATCCTGGTATAATATCACATCTTTGACTGGCAATTAATATTCATAACTTGCGCAAAGAACTTTGGATATTAACCGGAAATGCAAATAATAATTAATTAATCATCTCCATAAATCCTTGATCCTCCGAGTTTCCATAAATTGTACAGCGCGGATTTACTTGAAACATAAATGATTACACTAGGGTCATTACAGTACCGGATTTGCTAATAGACACGTGTCTAGGGTGGCAGCAAGATTTTAGGAACGACAAATTTCTAAGATGTCTTTTTAATATAAAATATTGACAAATAAAAATAAATTTATTTTGTTATACCATATTTTAACGATAAGAGGTAAAAATCTATTATTTATTCATTTCGTCAGTAATCCCTTTTTTTGTATAATGAAAAATTTCCTTATGACATCGTGATATTAAATATAAATAGTGACCATAGGCAATATCAGCTACTAACTAGTTAAATCTAATCCTACATTAATAGTCAAAATTTCTCTCAAATTATGTTGCAAATAAATACGTGATATATTATTATATTAATAGATTTACAGTTTTTTTTTAATTTTTAGAATTTTTATTTATTTTGCATTTGTCCGTCAAAATCACCTATATTATTTACTTCATTCTTCCCAACTAAATACAGTGAATCTTTTATGAATGATCGAATTAACGCAGGCATCGTGAGCAGACAATAATTACGGATTAAGAAGCTTTTCCATTACAATAACCTTTAAAGACATTAATTTGCTCTGTATCGCCCTCCTTCTCTCTCTCTCTCATTCCCTCTTTCTCTCTTCCTGACCAATTTTGTATCGATTACAGCATGGAGTTTGTAGCTGTACCCCTTTAAGGTACACGCACATCGATTTGTACGGCCATCTACCTCAGTCTCATTGCATCCCGTATAGCGGCAATCCCGTCTTAGCTATGTCCTATTGCTATCTGATCCAAGGAAAATGTCTGACACTGCGAAATGATCTTCCCTACGAAATGCAATACGTTTGCGAACTCGACTGTAAGCCCGTCTGTATATCGCCCTGCCCGCCCTGCAAAGTTTCCTGTGATTCCCATGGAACGCCTTGTCCGCCGATCACCAGATGCCCCACTTATTCAAATACGAAGTCCTGTGAGCGTCAAGCGCAATCCTATCCACCTGCCCAATCTGCGTCGTTGTGTCAACCCTGTCCATCTAATACAGAAACGATGTACCAGGGAGCAATGTGTCAACCAAATGTCCAAAGAAACGAATTGAACCCGCGCGCCTGACAATATGTCAAGTTACGAGATATTCATGTGATATGAAGATTTATGAGGACCATTTGTGTATGGCGAGTCGTTAATCTCGCTATCGATCGAAGTCGATTTTTACTAACGTTTTATTTGATTTACTTTATAGCACTATGTTATTTGATATAATGTATACATTTGTGAGAATAAAAAATATATTATGGATAAAAATTGTTGTCTCATCTTTTTTTGCCGAGAATATTTCATTTAATTGAAAAAAATATATAATTGTTTTTAAAAATTGCATTTATATCGAATGAGTACTTGATATCTGCAGTCAGTAAGTTCTATATATTTGGTATCAGAAGTCTGGTATATCTAAAGTCAGTGATGTATCTTCAGTAGGTATATACATCTCACAGTATTTTCTATTATCAAAGAATGGTTATATTTTAAGACATAATGTTATATGTTACTAACAGTAAATATATAAAATAATTTAACATTTACAGTAATCCTCATGTATAAATATATCGATTCTTGCATAAAAATGTATTTTACGACACTTGTATACCAATCAATTTCTAAATTAGAGCTTATATGTATAATTATTTGTAATTTTTTGCTCAATAATATTTTTGTGTATTACGGTGAATTTCACTTAATAATAATAAATAAACGATTAAATACAATTATAATTTAATCTCTAAATTTTTATTTTATTCGATTGTCCTAAATACGGGTTATTTACTCATATTGACGATAACATACTGAAAAATCAATATCAAATAACTTGCTTTAATAACGTCTATATATCTGTTTCCAATATTTCTTTTATCTATGCAAAGGATTGTATTATTGCCTTTATGAAAAACACCGATAAAATACTTAAAAAATACATACACGTACTGAATAGTACATTCACATTATCAACTGTAGCAAATTTATGTTAAGTCACTCAAGCTACATGGGAATGTTGCTCTATGCATAAATATATAAAACAATTTCAATAAATATATTAAAGTCATGTTTAGTTTTATCATTGCGTGTCTATCGATGATTAAAACCGCATTTGACAATTACTGAGTTGCTTTATAAGCTTGATTCAAGCAAAAGAATACCGTGGAAGGGAAACTCAATTAACTACTACGTCCTTTCTTAATTAAGAGAAAATGTTTGGCGTATCTCTCGTAGAGATTACTGCGAACGAAACAAACTTCCGTTTGCGTTACCATCGCGCTTGCTTTCTCACGATCGAAAGCCGATCCAAAACTAATCATGGAATTTTTTGCAAAAATATTGATGTTATGTCAGATAAATGATATAAAGACTGACAGAGTACAAATATTTATATAATTTTCGTTAGATTATTAATTAAAGTCTCCTCAAATAACCGTATAGAGATGTAAGCTACAATGAGCGAATTATGCAGCAATCTAGGAATTAAAACAAAAATTACTTAATAAAAAATAATAAAAAATATAAAAAAATATTTTATAAAAATAGATTTAATTTAACGTCATTAATCCGAAATGTCTCATGCATGATTAAGAAAGTATATCAGTTTGATTATTTATATTTTGTGTCACTAATATTAAATATCAATCATTTCATATACATATATGTATATATGACATACGGATATCGTCGTATACAAAATCGACATACGAAAGCGTTGGCCGCGAATGATAGCTCCAGGGATACAATACAAGGGGAAAGAAGCAAGGGATAGTATACAATTCGCAGGCAGTAACATAGTGACAAGAGAAGGCAGCATTATCAGTGCGGTGATACATACGAGTTGACATTGTTTGAAGAACTTGGAGGCAATGCGAGTCACCGATTGCAAGAAGCGCGACGCGAGGTTCGCAAGGAGGTAACATACCGGACGGGAGGGACGAAGGGCGTAGAGGGGTGAAGGAAGAGAGTGAGAGAGGAGGGGGCGGTAGGGGGCAGTGTGGCGGGTTCGACGGCCGGCTGGTGGCCCAGTGACCGGGACCGGTTCCCTCCGCGGTTCCTCCTTCCGCCTTCCTTGCAAACGCACAACTGCATCATCTCGACTCACCTCGCTTCGTCTCCGCCACCGTTCCCCTCAACATCCCTCGTCTGCTCTTTCTCTCCCTCTCCTTCCCACTCTCCCTCTCCGCCTCTCTCTCTCTTTCTCTCTCCTTTTCTGTCTTTCTTCACTGTCTGTCGACCCTCCGCTTACCTCCTTCTCGATCCGACCCGATGCGCGCCTTCGCACTTGCGCCTCTCTCGTCTCCTCTCGTTCATCCGACCGACCGACCGGCCGATCGACCGTTTCTCTCTCTTCATCGTCATATATCCCGTCTCCTCTCGTCTTTCGCACGAAAGAGTTGCCACACGCGCGAAACGGCCCACCGCCTTCTTCGTTCTTCGCTGCTTCTCTCCGTAATGCCAATGCGATGCTCTTCTCTCGCTTGCACCATTCTGCCACTCGCGCTCAACAGCGTCCATCTCCTCCTCTCTTTTTCTCTTTCTCTCTTTCTCACCTTGCGAAGCAGAGGTCATGCCGCGTATTCGCTTCTTCATTCTTCCTCCTCCCTTTCCTCTTTCTCCTGGCTGCATCGCCGCCGTCGTTTCGTTCTCTTCATTTTCTTTGTATCTCGTAGTTCGTTCAGTGATCAAGCCGGCAATACGGGTGGATACGCAACTATTTATCCCACACGACGTGGGCAGTCCGCGGATAGGAAGGACGAAAGCCGAAGATAAACGGACGAATGCCGGTTTTGAATGCTGCGGTGTATCGTAGCATCATCGTCGCGACATCAAAGGGGGATCTTTAAATTCAGGATGGGCCTGGTCGAACACCTTAGTCAAGGATTTGAAAGGAAAAGTAGTTCTATGCAGAAGAAAGAGAAGGAGAGAGAAAGACAGGGAGAAAGAGCCGGAGGGAGAGTTCGTGAAGGAAAGAGGAAGAAACGGAGGAAGAGGAGAGGACGGGGGAAGGGAAGGAAGTGAAAGTACGACGGAGGCCTGTGTTACCAGCGCATCCGAGATTTCGTGCTACCGCCTTTCTTCCGTCTTCCTCGTCTTGTCATCCCTCTCCCCCCCCCTTCCGATCTCCGTCCCTGTCATCGCCACTCCTCTCCGTTTGCGTTCACACCTAACAGTTTACGAGGACTCGCCGATAGTTTGTAGGTTCGCATATAACGAGCGCACCCGCGTACATATACGGAAGGACGCATCGTGGAACGAAGATAACTGGCTATTACATTCGCGGAAGGAAAGTGATTTTCCCAAGGGCGCACTGAGCCCCACCTATGAGAGACCATTCTAGCTTTTTCCTCGGAACACAATTTGGATTGATTTCCATTAAATTCATACCCGGAATTGTACATGACTCTGTATTTCCTCTCACGAAATAATACAATTTACGCAAGAAAGCCCGAAGATAACAGAAAATTTTAGAAAAAAATGCTAATTTCATGATATTTTTTAGATCTTATAAAAACTTGTATTAGTTCTTATAAAAACTTATAAAAACTTCTAGACTCATATTTAAAAAAAATACGATTGAAATCCTAATAAAACTAAAAAATATATATATCCTATTTTACTTTAAAGCAATTTGAGAGGTGTACATATAATTGAATAACTCGTCTGCAATTATACTGATGCTAATATGAAGTCTACGTGCTTACACGTTACTTACACGTTAATGCTAACTCTGCCGTCTAAGATACGTCGTCATTTATGATTAATTGCGATAGATAATACTACTGGCATATCGTCGTCTTTTTGCCATCGATTAACCGTACCGATCGTGATCGTCCATTGCGCGTCTCCCGATCCCGTTCCTTTGGCCTGCTTCCTCGAATGAAAAAGGTAATCAACGAGTGCGAGCAACGCGGTTCCGTAAAGGAGGGCGTCCGTTAGAAGGAGGATGTCGAAAATCCGTTGGAAGAAGCCGGAGGACGAAGGACAAAGCGACGAAACGGGAGGTGAGGACCCGAGTGAGATGTAGGTGAGGAGGAGAGACCGAAAAAAGAAGAAAATGGGCCGTGGTCATTCGCGCCAAACTATTCTTGGACGAATTCGTAACGGTATATTCGATGAGACCCAACTCACGAATATACTTTAGGCACGCGGCCCTTGTCCGGTTGTCTCCGAACAGTTCCATCCAGCGATTCGCCGAGGTTCACCTCTGATATGGGCCGTACGTTGGCTCATACTTTTGGCTCTCGCTCTCCTCTCTCTCTCTTTCTCTCTTCCCCTTCGTAAAGTCAACATGTAGCGAATTGGGCTGCTTCTCAGGACAGTCACGAGACCTCTCGAATATTCTTGGGCCAAATAAAACGTGACGCGAATGGTATGTGTCTTGTGTCAAGTATATGTACGTTGCGGCGGGGTTCCCAGAAATTTGCTCGTTGATAATTGAATATTGCCATAGAGGGGTATGTGCAGGCCGATAACGAAGACTGAGACGGTGTTATTGATTTCGCATCAAATCTCACTCTTATTATCGATATAGAAATCTATCTATCAATATTCCTTCAGAGTTATACGAAGCCAATCATAATCATATACCTCATGAATGTTTGGGATCTACGTTATTCAACGATTATCTTTTCGTGCACTTGACACCGCTTTATTAGACTCGTAGTTCTAAGCATTTCAAACATACTCGACATATTTTAAATAATACATCGCGGAAACTCATCAAATGTTAATAGAAATTTCTCTGGAAATAAAAAATCTTGCAAGACAAGAATCTGCAAAAATCCACGTCCGTCACGCGTCCTAATACACGTGCCTAACTTACAATTAGACTTATTATTAGAACTACGTGTTATTGACCTTTACGCTCAATGATTCGCCACAGGCTAGAATCGATTGTAAAGTAATTGACGTAATTGACTGAATAAATTATTGTGATTCGTGATAGTGCAAATTGCGAAATTGTCTGCGCGCGTTTGCATTATTTATGCTGCTGGACATCTAATCACGCTTCGAGATTATGCGCTTTTACTGAAATTTTAGCGAAATTATTTACTAAAATTATCTCAGACATTAAAAGATGGTTATTTCTATATTTGGACATTTAATCGATTCAAATCAGCAAGCATCAGTAAAGAAATAGTTTGCTCGACTCGACGATACGAATAAATTATCCTAATATTATTATACATAACGCAAGAAACTTTTCATAATCGTAGAAATCATAAAACGTAATCAAAATATTACTTAGATAATGA